ATAAGGGTGCTATGATTGTTTTTTGTTTTATTGTTGTTGTTCTTATATAAGATGTAACTTTTTTGCTGTTGTGAAGATGTTTATTGTTGCATTTCAAACACAAAGCAGAATATGTAACATAACTTGCCTGAGTAATTTGGGAAGGGGAAGGACTTTCTACAGTATCATTGGGGTAAGCAAGTTCAATTCCTTGTTGTTTTTTTCCACCCTATCCTTCATTATTCTCTTCTGCAAGATGATTGTTCTCATTCACCATTTCTACTCATATCTATAGGCAAATGACATGGTGCTGCCTACTCAGGAGGCTCTCATTATTGGCAAGCACCCATTCCGTAATATACCTGGACAGCTGGATCCTATGTACCTCAGATTGCGCTGTTAGACTCACTGAGGTCATCAGAAAGTGGCCCATGGAAGTTGTAGGGCTCGGGATCCATCATTTTGAAAGTCTTTCTGTATTAATGGGTAGACATCTAGTATAAATAGTGCAGTATTGCATTGTTGTAATTTCTTTTTAGAAATTGGACATGAGTGCTCAAAGCATTTTGTGTCTCTCTAGGCAAGCGACTTGGCTATTTAGTTTTTTGCTTTGCTGTTTGCTTCAAGTTTCAGATCTCACTGCATAAGATTTAGGGCTCGGAAGATACTGCAGAAAAGAAAATGGACTTCATTATAATAAAAAATAAGTAGGACTGGATTTTCTCAGGGAAGCTTAGAAAGGAGAAATTATATAATGGCACAGGCTGAATATTGAGAAAAAACCTTGTGATTGGGTTGGTTTAGAACTGGAAAGTTACTGATATCCAAGATTCCAGTGTGGTGTAGTGAATACTTCATGAGGATATGGAACATGTACTAAATTAATAACACCTTACCATGTGCTGTTTGAAGGAGATCACAGGATAGCTTAAGTGTAGTTGTCCCCCCTTTTTAATGTATCAGCAGGAGATGTAATAAGTGCCCTTTTTTAATACAAATAAACTAATACCTGGGATCATAATAGGTATGAATAAATCACTGTAAATTTCTATTATTTTTTTATTTCAAAAGTTCTGTTATTTGTTCTCAATATTTTTATAATAGTATTTCACATTAACTTGATTTTTTTTAAGTGTCCTGTCAGGCTAAACACCAGTTAGCAGTAATTTTGTGTTATTTGGAATAATTGTAATTTTTAGACACATTGTCTAAAAAAATGTGTTAGGGTTCTCTAGAGAGATAAAACCAAATTCCTGATAATATAATATCCTGATAATATAATAAAGATAATTAGATATATAACGAGAAATGAAATGTTAAATCATAAATATAATTATACAATACAAGAAATAAACAGTTAAATTAGAAGCACTATAAATGGCTTAGTGCAACTCACGTCCGTGAGAGAAAGTTGAGAGACTAGCAGTCCTTCAAGTCTCTATCTGATGCCAGCTCTTCCTCTATTTGTAGAGAGAGCTAGGCTATGTCAGCACAGCAGCCAATCACAAGGCAGGTCACCAATCGCCAGTCCCCAGCTCCAGAGAAGTCTTAAAGGGACCTCAACTTACCGCAACACAGTCCACAAGCTAGGCATCCCACAGGCTGTGTAGCCTTTAAATTGAAGCACAGAACAAGCAAGGCAGCCGCACACTGGTCCGATGATCACAGAGCGAGAGACAAGAAAGGCAAGGCTCACCAAGCCATCCATCTCTCCGCCCCTCAGTCAATCCCACCTGCGTTTATCAGCCAGGCTGGCACAATAAACTCTCAATCCACCCCTTGCCAACCTGGCACCTGTACACAATTCTTTAGCCATATATACATATATAATTTACGGACATTGATGAAACCACACTTATACTTATCATCAATCATCTATTATATATATAAATGAAAACATAGTCCAATTATATCTGATATATCATACCTGAATGAAGGAAAGATATGCAATAAACACATAAAAAGAAAATACATTGACAATTACAAACCTCGCTTTTGCAATTGATCACGTGGTCGTAATTGATAGGTAGAACTACCTTCTACTACTACCCATTCTGTATTACCTTTGCCCTCAGCAAGTACCTCAGCTGGCTGTGGTTTTTTTGCCTGGTGGGTTGACCCAGACCTTCATTCCTGAGGGGTCTGGGTCATTATAAATCCTGTCCGGATTGGGTTGCTATACTTTACCATTTACTTTAATCACAGGGCATGGTAGCACTAAGAGTCGGCCTATGGGATCTCCTGGATTCCAGACATATTCTTCTTTACCTCCATTATGTAACACCAGGCCATTTTCATAATGGCCACCTTGAGAAATGAGGACTAAAGTTTTCTGAACAGGTAATGTTTTAGCCTCCCCCATCCTCCAACACATACACAAAATGATTTTACATTGCTGTGGCTTAGTGGCTAAGAGGTTCACTACTGACTGAAAGGTTAGCAATTTAGATCCACTCCCTACCTCCCTTGGATAAGGAACTGGTGGTAGGCTCTGTCAAGTTTACAGTCTAGGAAGCCCTATAGGGCCATCCTAGTCAGTCAGAGTCAGTTCAGTGGCACCTATTGGTAACGATAGTGGCTGTCTTTATTCCAAATGACCTCAGATTTCTTAAAAAGCTAGTGTAATATTTCAGAAAGAGCAAACTGTAGTTCAACCTCTCGGACTTGCCAAAATAGAGAGTAAAACTATAAGCCTTGTGGAGCAAACAGGCAGGTTTTCTGCCAGCTGTAGCAGCAACCTGGCTGGGGTTTCAGAAATAGTTGATTGTTTTAAATTATGTAATTTTTCTGCTGAGATCTCTTAGGCTTGGCTGGATTGGTGATGTTTTTCCTCCTTCTGATGATTATTTTTAAACAAAAGTTTATATCAGGGAAAGCTCTCACCCCCACTTTTAAAACAAAGCCATACATGGATACAGAGCTCTTGGGTGGCACAAACTGGGTAACACTCTCTTTTGCTAACTAAAAAGTTTACCATTTGAGTTGACTCAGTTGCCCAGGGAAAAAGGCTCATCAAGATGTTTTTTCCCCCCAGAGATTTTTAATTAATTAATTAATTAATTTTTAAATCATTTTATTTGGGCTCATACAACTCTTGTCACAATCCATATATATATCAATTGTGTGAAGCACACATACATTCGTTGTCCTCATCATTCTCAAAATTTGCTTTCCCCTTGGGTTCCTGGAATCAGCTGATTTTCCTTTTTTCCCTCCCCGGCCCTCCCCATTCCCCCTCGTCAAGATTTTTAAATAGGCTTTTAAGAACTGTGACACACATGGGGTCACCAGGATTGGAATGGATTCACCAGAGTTTTTGGTGGATAAAGTGAAACAGCTGGGATTGCAGCGCCTCCTCTTTCCTCCGCACACAAAAAAATGTGTGGCACAGACTAGCTTCAGACTTGTTTCTAGTGCTGTAAAATCCATCTCTTTTTCATGATCAGGAGTTAACATTTTACCAAAAATTGAAAATGCTAAGGATTGGTAATACTAAGATTATAGGAATTTACTCACCTGTATTACATTTTAAGAACATGGCTTAGGATATATGTACTATACACGGGACATAGGCCCACTAGTTAATTGTAGTGGTTTCTTTTTACTCTTCTTATAAGTTATTATTGACGATCCCAGCATTGTGATTAGATCTGAGAAGAAGACATTTTTTAAGTCAGTTTTTCCTCTTCCAGATAAATTAAAACTTAACATATGTAAACATGCATGTGTTCATTTCAGCCCCTCAGTGATTATCTCCAGCAAAGATTTGCATTTAAAATCATTTGGTCCCCCCAACTACCAGGACCCCAGTTTCGCCTTGCAGACCTGGTTAGACCAGATGATGCATAGCGGTACAGAGGGGAATTGGAAGCGCAGGGAATGTAGGACGGAAGAAACTCTCAGGACCGGGGGTGAAGGGGGCGATATC